AGATGTGGTACCAATCAAGCAGGCTGCTTTGTCTTGGATGGTGGAAAGCTTCTTGTACAATGTTGAAGAATACTTGCTCTGTGGGAGTGTCTTTGTGACAATCTAATAGTTTCACAATCATTGTTGATGACTAACATTTTATTCCTGATTTATTAATTGATTGAATTTAAATTCCCCCAGCTGTCGTGGTGGGATTTGAACTCATGTTTCCGAGGCCTCTGGATTACTAGTCCAGTAACATTATCACTATGCTACCAAACCCCTTTTTCTGGAGTAAGTAAAGCCAAACTCATATCTATTCTGGTATTCTTAAAGTTTCTTAAAATCTAATAGTCATTCCTGCACAGAGCAACAGGAAACTGTCTTGGACTATCTGAGAGTTTACAGCAGTTTATTCGTCAATGTACACCCAGCCCCATTTAAAATTTTTGAATGAGCTTAATGAGGTTCCTTGATTCTCAAGGGATTAAGAGGTTCTTCTGGGAGAACAACATAAAATAGGAAGGTGACTTTTGACCTATATGGTTTTAAATAAAATGCTACAGTCATCTAAAATGTTACATCTGTCAAAATTTACAACGTCAATTTTAAATAATCCCAGAAGTGTAAGTCAACATTCAAAATTGTACAAAGGTAAAACAGGATGGGTTTCATGCCATAGGAGGTGGTTAAGGAGCTTGGTACAGAATGGAAGGGAACGTCCAGGATTGGGTAGATGGCTGGTGGTGTCTATTGTGAAACAAAAGGCAAAGGAAGTGGTAATGCTTATAGAAAGAAGCAGAGTAAGTGTGAATAGCAGAATAATGAAAAGCTCTGTACCAAAGCAAAAAACGTGAAGAATAACTTTTAGGCTGGCATGTGGAAAATTAACAGAAGCAAAATGAGGTTAAGAGTTGAAGTCAATGTTGAGCAGAGGAGGGTGTGAAGTACCAATTTCGTCCATTGTTTAATCACCCCTCAATACCTTGCCCTTTCCTCAGCACTTTCACAATGCAGTAGAGGGTCAATGCAGAGTCGATGGACCGAATGGCCCCTTTCTGCACTCTAGAGATTTTATGATTCTATAATTTTATAATCCGCTTTCCTCTTTTCACAGTCTAAGGCGCCATGCACTCCAGCAGTGATATGCTCCTCCTTCTTTCAAGTTAGTCCACTGTATTCACTGCTCTCAATTTAGTCTGCCTCTACACTGAGGAGATCAAATGCAGACTAATTGACCGCCTTGCCGAATACCTCTGTTCAGTCTCCTACAATGGCCCCTGAGCTTCCATTCACTTGTCTGTTTATTCAGCACCTTGTTGTCATGCTGATGTTTCTGTCCGCAGCCTGCTGTAGTGTTCCATTGAGGGCCACATATGTTTCAGGAACAGTAATGGGAATCTTCTGTCAGGCACACAACATGGCACCTGTGTGTGTATAAATCTCTTTTCTCCCTATCCCCCCCAACCCCATCCTTTCGAAATTTCCCCCTTTGTACTTGATCCCCCTCCTGTTTCAATGCATAAGTCTTTTACGTTTCTACTTTTCTTCAGTTCTGATGAACCATATTCATCTGAAAACTTTAGAATGAAAGCAAAATACTGCAGGTGCTGGAAATCTGAAACAAATCCGAGGAATGCTGGAGAAACTCAGCAGGTCTGGCAGCACCTGTGGGGAGAAAAACAGAGTGAGCGTTTCAAATCTGAAATGACTCTTCTTAGAGCTGACACTAACTCTGTTTCTCTGTCCACAGATTCTGCCTGACCTGCTGAGTATTTCCAGCATGTTCTGTTGTTGTCTCAGATTTCCAGAATCCACAGTATTTTGATTGTTTTACAATTGTAAACTTTGTTCAGTCTTTCCTATCCTTCAAAACCCAAAGTTGGAAAAGGAATAGCTTGGGAGTGAGGTGAGTGGTTGCTATTTCCTGTAGACAGCTTTGAATTTTTCGCAGAAAACATTGCACATTCTCTTTCATCTTAAGCATTTTTAAAAGAAAAATCACAATGAACAAATTTTAATGTAACAAAAATTTTTTCGGTAAATAGGTAGCATCCACTTGTATCTGGTTCCAGCAGCTTGCAACCTATCATAGTTGTTAAATTCCAGAATGGGACAGCCAGTTGTAGATGAGAAATTTGGGATTTGTCCTGTCATTGCTAATCACTGAAGAGAGTAAACAATAGCTAGTGAGGAGAATAACCATGGATTGCAGGAGGATACAGATGGGTTGGTCAGATAGGCTGATAAGTGGCAGATGGAAAAACAAGGCAAGGGAATACAGGACGGCCAATAAGATCCTGGAAAACACTAAGGCTCATGGGAACTTGGTATGCATGTCCATTGGTGCCTTAAGATAATAGGACAGATAAAGTGATTAAGAAGGCTTATGGGATACTTGACATTATTAGCCAAGACATAAAATTTGAGAGCAGGGAGATTATGCTGGAATTACAATGAGATATTTTTAGACAAAATGAATAGGCTAAACGATGGCAAAATGTAAACAAGTGTCAGGTTATCCATTTTGGACCAAGAAAGGATAGATCAGGGTCCTTTCTAGATAGTATGAAGTTAAATACGATGGATGTCTAAAGAGTCTTGGGGGTTCAGATGCATAGACCACCTCCACCCCGCCCACCCCCAGTAGTCAGTGGGAAATTGAGAAGCAGATTTGTAACGTGATTTCAGACATCTGTAAAAATGATAGAGTTATAATGGGAGGGGATTTTTTAACTTTACAAACGTAGACTGGAACTGTCATAGTGTTAAGGGCTTGGATGGAGAATAATTTGTTAAGTGTGTACAAGAAAATGTTCTTATTCAGTATGTCGATGATCTTACTAGAGAACGGAGCAGAAGTTCAGCGTCGCTTGGGAAATAAGGCAGGGAAAGTGACTGAGGTGTCATTGGTGGGGAACGAGGGGGGGAGCACTTTAGGGCCCGTGATCATAATTCTGTTAGTTTTGAAATAGTTACGGAAAAGGGTAGACCTGATCTAAAAGTTAGAGTTCTAAATTGGAGTGAGGCCAATTTTGACAGTATTAGGTAAGAACTTTCAAAAGTTGATTGGGTGAGGCTATTCACAACTAAAGAGGCAGGTGGAAAGTGGGAGGCCATGAAAAATGAGACGACAAGAGTCCAGAGGCGTGTGATGAAAGTCAGCACTGTGGGTTCAGCACAACCAGGCCAAAGAATTGCGGGAATACAATCGGAAGCTGTACAAATATCGCTCAGGATTGTATGGTTAAATCGCTCAAGGAGGTAAAAGTAGAGGGGCTTATCAGAGGTCAGTGCTATGGGAGGGAGACTGGGGATTGGAATTGAAATGCTGCAATACTGAGCGGATTACATCAGTGAAAGGGGCCAACTCAAAATGTAAGCTTGGGGGGAGGGGCAGAGGAGATGATCGACCATGGGGGGGAAAGGTGTCTTTCGGAAGGGAGATCATTGACAGTAAGCAGCATCCTGGCTTCCACTGGGGTAAACGGGAAGAGGATACAGTTCATTACTAGATCTGTCATGTTTACTTGTTATACCTGGGGCTGGGGATGCTGTAAACAAGGTAAAGTCACCATAATCATTGGAGAGATCTGATTGATGGTGGTTTAACCTGACTATCACCATGCCACAGGCAAAAGGAGAAGTTGAGGAGGACAGTCCTTCATGGTAACCTCAGCGACTGTGAGAATAAAACTTATGCTTTAAGCGTCACTCTGTATCGCAAACCAGCAGTGCAGCCAACTGAGCTAACTGATGCCTAGTTGTAAATGACAACGGAGATAAAAATACCTATGGCCACTGCTGGATTGCTCAAGATAACGGCTTCATTCTGTGAAAAAGAGGCTGTTCCATTTTGAGCAACGAAAGGTCCTTCAAAGAAGGAAGTATGGAATTTGAATGTATGTTTCCCCTCCAGTTAGCATCAGGCAGATTTAAATAAGAGTGGCACATGTGTTTTTCCTTCCTGCACTACCCCAAGGACGATACAGTGGCCCAGTGGTTAGCACTGCTGTCTCATAGCGCCAGGAACCTGGGTTTGATCCCAGCTTTGGGTGACTGTGTGGAGTTTGCATGTCCTCCCTGTGTCTGTGTGGGTTTCCTACAGGTACTCCGGTTTCCTCCCACGCTTGAAAGATATGCAGGTTAGGAAGGTTGGCTGTGCTAAATTGCCCATAGTGTCCAGGGATGTGTAGGTTAGGTAGATTAGCCATGGGAAATGCAGAGTTACAGGGATAGGGTAGGGATTGGGTCTGGCTAGGATGCTCTTCAGAGGGTCCGTGTGGACTTGATGGGCTGAATGGCCTACTTCTACACTGTAGGGATTCTATGAAGGCAATTTCTTCGTTCTTTCAAGTTGCTCTCAGTCTCATCAGGGATGTAATGTGTGCCTGCTTAAAAAAAGCCTTGAAGTAGTGGCAGCACACATGCGTAACAAACCTTGCCATAGCTGCATAACTTGTTCTGGAGCATCATTGTTTTTGTTTGTGTGTGTGTGTGTGTGCGTGTGTGTGTGTGTGTGCGTGTGTGTGTGTGTGTGTGTGTGTGTGGACTTAACAGGATTTTCTCTGTGTTTTTGTGCAATTTAATCTGCTTCTGCCCACTAATCCCTTTAATTCAGAATGTTTGTTTCCTTCAAGCTTTCACTGTGTCCCACTCTGTCCCAAAAAAAAATGTCAACCCATGCAATCTCACATGACGTGCAGGAATAGCCAAGCTGTGAACTGGTCACAGGAAGAGATGTGCAATCCCTAATCTGAGTGTGGCACAGAAATGCCAATTAGAAACCAGCCAACCCTGGCTTTTTAACAGAAGAACCTGTATTTTTTTCTCTCAGACGTCATGTGAGATTGAATGGGTTGACTGTGCTGTGACTCTGAGCCAAAAATGCTCCCTTGAACCACCCTGGGATAAAAATACTCAAGCATCCAATTGGAGTTACAAAACAGCGTACTAACCACTCCCTCCCCCTTAAGCACATACACACACACACACATACACACACACACACACAGCTCACTGCTGTCTCGGGATGCTACAGGCACTGCTGATGTAAACATGTCCAAGAGCACCACAGTTCAGAGCCATTGTACTAATCAGTTTATAAACAAGAGGCCTTTAGAAATTCCCGAGGAATCTACCAGCAAAAGAAAGGCAATCTGGGGAATCCTCACCAGCCAAGGTCAGTACAAACTCCACGTGAAGATACACTACTTAAAGTGACTGTGCTGCTGATCAGATCTTGGAATAATATGACTTTGAAAGCCAGGTATATAGCTCCCTCTCTATACAGAAGGAAATTGACCTGGTCTATTCTAGTGTGCGTATGGAACTCTGTAGTGAGATGTGAATCCTCTGTGCACTCAAGATATTGTGGGACTGTATAAAAGATCAGACTCCCCCTCCCCCACCCCTTCAACACAATGACCTTACAGTGATCTGAATGTGTACTTGATTTGGTCCTGTGCCAGCTGTAAAGTCAACGCAACAGGGATGGTGTATTTTTTAATCACTCTCTTCAGACGTGTTATGGCTCACGTCTGGAGTGAGTGCGACATAAATCCAGGCCTCCTGGCCCCGAGGTAGGGACAATATCAGCATGCCATAAGAGCTGAAAAGGATTAGGATTCCTTCAAGCTAGAATCGAATCATCAACCTAAGGACATGTACTTTGTTGATCATAGAAAATAGTACAAATCAATCCTGTTGAATCATTTTGTCATTTCAAGAACTTATTCTCATAATTTTGCCCCTACAACCCTGACATAATTTTGGCAGATTTAATGACTGACCGCCTGATATCTCTAGCCTGCCCTCCATCACAAGACAATAGTCAGGAGTGCGATGGAATACTCTCCACATCGTCTGGATAAGTGTAGCTCCAACAATACTCATGGAACTTGACACCATTGAGCCCACTTGCCAACCTACCCATCACGTTAACTACTCACTTGTCCACCACTGATGCACTGTGACAGCAGTGAGTACAATCAACAAGTTGCACTGCCGAAGCTAAAGGGATAGGGGCCAAATGCAGGAGCTCGTTTAGTTTGGGAAACCTGGTCGGCATGGACAAATTGGACTGAAGGGTCTGTTTCCATGCTATATAACTTTATGATCCAATACAGTCCTCTGCTCTACCAGATGAACTATCAAAGGGATTGATATACACTGGTGTATACAATTGTTTATGGGTGGGGGGAATAGGTGGACTCATGAAATGTTGTTCCCAAACCTCCAGCAAAAATCTGGGAATACCAGGTACTGAAAACATGACCCAGATATCTACAGGAAGGTTGAAAACAGCAGAAGGATCCATCCAAGGCCAAGAATGTGGAGATCTTGACAAACCTTGACAAGCCAAGGCCTCCGTTAAAGTTTTTAAGCCTACTCAAGACAGTAAACCAGACTATGACCCTTGTTGGTAAACAAAAGGCAGCATGTGGGGCTCCTTGACAATGGTCACTGAGACTCAGGAGCTTGGAGAGACCCACAAGAAGAGGGAGAGACCTGCAGTCAGCATCAGAGTAGGTGGTCACTCTGCAGGGCTGAAGAAGGCCAAACGATTCCCCGGGAGTTCAGAGAGTGGACCACTCGCACTCTTCCTGGCTTTCAAAAGAATCTGACACCACCTCCTTTTCACTGCCGGGCTTCCCAATTCTGATCTATTATAAATTCAGCTTTCAATTCGTTTAGAATCCCTACGGTACAGATAGATTCTATTCGGCCCATTGAGCCTGCACCAATCCCCCAAAGAGCATCTCACCTGGGCCTACCCCATCCCTGTAACCCTACATTTCCCATGGCTAATCCACCTGACCTGCATGTCCCTGGACACTACGGGCAATTTAGCATGGCCAATGTACATAAGCTGCACATCTTTGGATTCTGGGAGGAAACCGGAGCACCTGGAGGAAACCCATGCAGACACTGAAAGCATGTGCAAAGTCCACACAGTTGTCAGAGGTTAAAATTGAGCCCAGGTCCCTGACACTCTGAGGCAGCAGTGTTAACCACTGACTCACCATGTCTTTATACTTTGTGGCAAGTCACTTTGAAGAGTGAGAAACTTTGGCATTCCACTATATGGTGCCACAAGAAAGCTTGAAAAAGCAAGTGTGACAATCTTGGGCCAATTCCCTGGATTTAAAACTTCCCTGCCAAACCACTCCGGTGTTTGTGTTGTACTACCGAAGCTCATGGGCTGAATTTTCGGCACAGAGGCAGGAAATGGAACTGGGTGTGTTTTGGGTTCAGAAGCCCAGCTCTGGTTTGATCTGATTATCAAATCCCTTCCATGTGGAAGCAGGCCATTCGGCCCATCAAGTTTTCACTGCCCCTCTGAAGACAATCCCACTCAGACCCACCCCATCCCTGTAACCCTGCACTTCCCATGGCTAATATACCTAACCTGCACATCTTTGGACTGTGGGAAGAAACCAGAGTACCCAGAGGAAACCCACGTAGACAGAGGGAGAACATGCAAATTCCACACAGACAGTTGCCCGAGGCTGGAATCGAACCCAGGTCCCTGGTGCTGTGAGGCAGCAGTGCTAACTGCCCTTCAAATTAAGATTTTTCACATGTGGTCACTGGGTCGTAAAGCACTGAGAAAAAGACTGAGACACATCAGCATAGAATTGCAAGAAAACCAAATCTGAGAAGGATTAACAGTTTATACTGCACGAAGGATCAACAGGGATTAGTTTGCAAGTGGGATCTGACTGGTTGCAGTATTGCCATGGAGAATGTACAAGGAACATACAACCCTTTATCTTTTGTTTTAATTTATACAAATGAAGTCCATTCTTATTTGTCAAGGATTTGCCATGGGGAATGCACCAGGGATCAATTCATCCCCATGCTCCTGTTTAATCAAAAAAAAGGTCTTGGGCATGTTCTTCTTCCTTGTCGAGAAGAGGACTCAGAGTATAAATATGTGTGGCTTTTATCAAGTACATGTGAGGTACACCATGAGCCCCACTAATAGACTTAACTAACATATAATTCTTTGCATACTTGGGATTATTGGGTAAGCGTTGTCCAACTGTGGAATTACGTCTAATGTTGAATGCTATGAGACTTGCAAGCACAGGCTTGTTGAGTAAAATTCATATGTTGGAATTGCCAAAGAGGTGTTCTTTTGACACGGGCCACTAGTTGTTGGAATATAGGACAGCTTACCTGACATCGCACCAGTATTGGTATTTCTGTACCATATTACACCTTTGTGTAGTATGCAGAAAGTCTTAAAAATGTTCAGACGCTCTGCATTCCACTACGTTATGAGGAAGGCACTGCCTCATCTCTGTCTTAAATTGGTGACATTTTATTTTTAATCACCAACTCTTAGTTATAGTTCCCACAAGAGGAAACTTGGTCAGATATTTCTCTGTTGAAATGGGTAACTTGAGTTGGGAAATCTCCCAGTTTGCTGGGCCTGCCTCAATAGAAATGCTTCTCGGTGACTCAAACTTCTTACACGTTGGGGAAGGGGAGGAGTGTGGATGAATAGGGTTGAATCTGCCCTTCCCAGTAGCAGATCAGAGGTGGCCACAGACTTGGCCATGTGTAGATTAATAGATCGACTTCACCCAAGTTGTTTAGGGCTGCATGCCCTCACCTATGGTACTACATCACCACACAACTGCACAGTCACATGCCACCTGCGTGTCCCGATACAAATACAATGCCAATTCATATCCCCACTTACCTGTTAGGCCTTTTTTAGCTCTAACATCAATTTGTTGCTGATTCTTGCCCCCAACCATCCTTTAGAGCCTAATTCCATTCAATACTGAATAATGCCTTACCCTCCAACACAAATGACCCCTTAAACACTCCATGCATTTTTTTTTATTCACTTATAGGATGTGGATATCTCTGATTAGGCCAGCATTTATTGCCCATCACTAATTGCCACAGGGCAATTACGAGTCACCCACATTGCTGGAGTCACATGTAGGCCAGACCAAGTAAGGATAGCAGTTTCCTTCCCTAACGGGCATTCGTGAACCAGATGGGTTTTTCCAACAATTAACAACATGAGACCCTTAATTCCAGATTCTTTATTAAATTCAAATGCCACCATCTACCCTGGCAGGATTTGAACCCAGGACCCCACAATGTTAGATAACAAGGTGTAGAGCTGGATGAACACAGCAGGCCAAGCAGCATCAGAGGACCAGGAAGGCTGACGTTTTGTGCCTAGAGCCTTCTTCAGAAAATTTTCTGAAGAAGGGTCTAGGCCTGAAACATCAGTCTTCCTGCTCCTCTGATGCGGCTTGGCCTGCTGTGTTCGTCCAGCTCTACACCTTGTTATCTCATATTCTCCAGCATCTGCAGTTCCTACTACCCCAGAATATTAGCTGAGTTTCTGGATTAATAGTCCAGCGATAATACCACTAAGCCATTGTCTTCCCTTTATAGCCTTTCCCTGTTTCTGCCCACTTTCATGGCCCTTCCATGCTCATTCACCCAATTTACTCTAGAAGTAGAACCAGTGGCCCAATTATAACAAAGCTTATGTGAAAATGTTTAGGAAGAAAACACCCATTCATGTATTTTTTTGGAAAGAAATCTGGAGTTTCAACAACACAATAAAAAGATTTCATCAAACAATCAGTAAAATATCAATGACAGAATATGTAACTACTTCATTCCTCTCGAACTTGTGCAAAGAAACATGAAGGCTCAGAAAATAGTGCACAGAAAAGATAATTTACTACGACTGCAGAAAGCTGTCAGTCAAGTAAATCTAAAAAGAGGGGTCACAAGACTCAAAACCTTAACTCGGTTTCTCTCTCCACAGCTAGTGCCAGGCCTGCTGAGTTTCTTCAGCAATTTCTGCTTTTGTTTGAAGCAGTTCATTCCAGCAGGTGTAAATAAACTCTCACTCAGATAATCCAATTTCTCCTTGAGGTCATGCATTACCAGTTCTTTAATTGCATTTGCGTGGAGCCATGAATATGCAATCATCATCCATGCACAGAACGCTTACATTATATTGGATTCTCTGTCTCTTTACAGTAAGTGGCATAGAATCATACAAAATAGGAACTGGAGTAGGCCATTCAGCCCTTCAAGCCTGATCAGCCATTCAAAATGATCATGGCTGATCATCCTACTCAGTACCCTCTTCCCATTTTCACCCCATACCTTTTGATCTCTTTAGCCCTAAGA